GAGAGAGAGAGAGAGAGAGAGAGAGAGAGAGAGAGAGAGAGAGAGAGAGAGAGAGAGAGAGAGAGAGAGAGAGAGAAGGTAGACTGCGGCATAACAGTCCATGCAGCATGCATGCTTACGGCAACATCAGAAGCAAAAATCCCCGTTTTTTCCCTTCCCCTTTGAGAACATTACCAAGATTTCCATCGGGACATACACGGTTCTCAGTCTCCCTCCTTCCTTCCCGTTCCCCTTGCTCTGACCTCGCCATAACCATGTCATCACCACCATCTCCTCCCTGAGCTTTGTAGCGCCCTCGACGCGTTTCGTCCGCCTACGTGCGGACTCGTCACGGGGTGGAATCGTAGGTTCCGTGCTCTCAAACAGCGAATGCCTTGCTGTCTGTCCTAAGTACCCTGGTCCCACTCACTTGGTATTCCTGCCCCGAGTCCAGTAGCTGTCTGCTTTCAGGAATTTTTTAAAAACATAAAAATACGAATTCAAGAAACCTGGTCTTCCCGCCAGGCAACAGCCACCAGTCCCCCCGTCTTCATTCCCTTGCTGTCCCCGATAGTACCCCCGTTTTTTCCCGTCCCAGCACTCTATCCCGGTGGTCTATCGAGCCTCAGCAGGCCACCCCCCAGTATTATATCTACCAGCTATCTGAAATATCCAGACCCCGCCTCGTAACACCTATCTATCTACCGACCCTCCCCCNGCCTCAGCAGGCCACCCCCCAGTATTATATCTACCAGCTATCTGAAATATCCAGACCCCGCCTCGTAACACCTATCTATCTACCGACCCTCCCCCCGTCCGTTTCCCTGCTCCCATTTCCCTGCTTCCGTGCCCTTTTTTCCCCATAGTACAGATTTAGTAGCTGCCATAAACACCGGAGACTCGGGTCTCCCACAGCCTTGACCAATTTGGCCAAGGCACCTAGAGAGACCTCCGGCGCATAGCCCCGGAGGTTTGCCTCCCAGATCGCATATGCGATGGAGCCGACCGCCAGTGCTTGGCTTGATGTAGACTTCCACAGTCTATTCAGAGTAGCTGCTAGCATCATCTTCTTCATCCTTTTGTCCGAGTACGAGCTGTAGTCCTGCATTGTCTGGTACTTAATCCCCGCTTCCGCCCTCAGCGACGCCTGGTTCTTGGTTTCAGGTACATACATAATTCGCAAGGGACCCTCCAGAAGATACATCGTTCCCCCAAGAAAATGCCACCAGTCCCGTGTTTCATCTTTCCTGACCAAATGTAAATTCTTGTCATAGCTCGCCTCCAAAGCCTGAAAAACTTCCAAACTCGTCTTTGTCTTCCTCTTCTCGCCCACGCCTCAGCCCGACGACCACTGTGATGTCGTCGACGACCCTCCAACCCGCTACCAGACACCTGTCCGCACCCAAAGCAGAAAGAAACTGGTACTCAGACATAGCGCATGTGATGGTAGCAAGGATGGGGCTTGTAGATTTCCCCATCGGGATTCTAGACACCTGACGCTTTATCTCCTCGCCGCACCGAATATAATCATGGTTCAGGTCGTAGTTGACCATCCCAAAAATAAGTCGGAAGCTTATCCCGAAGTAGCCGTCCGTTGCCTTCCCTGTCTTGCTCAAAGTGCATAGCTTCCCTCTCTTGGAGACCTTAACCTGCTTCCATCCCCTGTTCGTGTACCATACCAGTAGCTGCCACACCGCCCTGCGTACCGCCGCCTGCGGTATCCTTGTGAACATATCCTTTATATCGTAACAACGCCCTTTCACTTCCACACACTGCGAATTCGTGAGTTTCTCTGTCGCTGTCTCCAGTTTCTTCGGCAACTCCTGAATTGAGTTCAAGTAAAAGGACTGCTCTGCTGGGAACTGCTTCATCAAGTAATGCAGAGCCTTCGCAATCCTCCTCTGAGCCTGTCCCGCTGGATCTCCCGTAGCTGGTGCTATAGGTCGCCACCTCGTCACATCTTTGTCCTTCGGGATAACATACGCCCTCCCAATCCGACCGTCTACCTTCCACCTTGCCACACTCGGTAAGCCTTCCCCCTCGTAGTCCTTCTTAGCTTGAAACAGTAACTCTTTCTCCTCAAGAGAAACACTGTCATAATCTGCATTCCACGCAAACGTCTTCCCAAAAGCATGCCGGTATAACACCGGGCAGACCACAGCCGTATCACCTTGGTTGCTGTCAATGGGAGCCAGCACCATCCCACAAAATCTCATGGCCCACCGTGCCACAACATTATCGTCCCATGCACCGCTATCGCATACCACACTATTCCCATTCAGAAAACCGCCCGCCGACACTCTAATGTCTTCGGGCTTACTCTTCAGAAGAGCAGTGGCTTCCATAATAGCCTTCACCACGGGCTCGTCATTCCTCATGCCTGTGTGACATGTCACATTTTTCGCATTCTTTACAAAAACTGGCACGTCCTTCAAATCTGAAAATCGTGTCAACACATGTCCCTCCTGCCTGGGTAGGTCCAAGCCTCTGCACGTGCAGAGCACCTCCTTCGTACTGGCGCAACGCCGGTGGTTGTGAATCACATCCCCCACGGTCCGATTTCGGCACCATGTCACCCTGATCTTGCTTTTAACCAGATTAGCTATGGCCGGATCCTTCACGCATCTGCTGAACACTCCTTCGGTGGTCTCTCTAATCTTCTTCTTCACCAGATCCTTGTCGTAAACCACTTTCACCACCACCCTGTTTCTCACCACCACCTTCGTTTTCTTCCTAATGGCCCGATCGATCTTCAAACGGAGCGCATTCTTAGTTTTCTTATCATCGAACATGCCCGCTGCTCGGTACAGTCCCACTAAGTGATTAGCAGACCACGTCACCAGCTCAGTCGCCTTGAAAGGCTTCCTTAGTATCTCCCGAAGCTCTTGTATCCTTCTTGCAGTGGTTGTAGGTGTCCTCGTAATACCAACCAGAGTAACCTCCGCCCCATTCTGAAGTTCTCTTTTTGCTGTATGCAGCTTCTTCAGTCTCCTATTCAGTCGCACGTTCGTCATCCCGAAGAGTTTCTTCACCCTCTTCCAGCCGTCAGCCCAGATCTCGCCGTTCTGGAAAATAACCCGCCTCTCCTTCTTCGTATCAGCTTTGTGTCCCTCCTCTAACCAAGACAGGAACGATACTCGTGACGGCCCCCTGCCGTCTATCTTAAAACTCACGATATTGTTCACCTTCGGTTGTTCGTTCCCGATCCTCCTCCTCCTCTCACGCCTCCCCTTTCTGACCCGACGCTTCGTTCCCATTTCTCTACCCTTCGTGTTGCAAGTGTTCAGATTTGGCGAGAAATCACGAATGAGATGCGCCTCGAAAGCACGATCATCCGTCTCATTAGCGTGTCTGATGGGAATCACGACAAAACTTCCCATACCTGCCTGCCTCATCCACCGATACAGCCTAGGCGAATTGCTAATCGCCTCGATGTTGGCGTTACTCAGATGTTCCCTCCACCTTTGCATCAAAGGCCGCACCGTACTTCCGACATATGTCTCCTTCGACCACGAGCTGGCTATAACATACACGCCAGCCCCCTTCAGTTCCAACATATCCAAGATGCCTTCAAACCGTGTCATTTACTTCATCAGCCATGGGATCTGCCCACGTAGCGTTAACAAAACTGTAGTTGTAGCGATCACCCTCTCGACCGCTGTCAACAGTTCGCTGCCCCTGCCCTGCCCCCATAGAGCCGACCTCGTCGTCAGGTGGGAGTTCAGAGTCTCCCACAGGACGGTGGTCGAAAGGGGCACGGTTTGTCAATCCGACTCCTGTTGTTTTTGTGACGGTGCCGACTTACGTGCCACCCTGCTTACCGACGATTTCCCAGACGATCTCGGTACGTGCACCTTCCCCTTTCCCGCCGATCCCTTGATCCCCTCCCCCAGTCTAACAGTCGTCTGTTTGCTATCTTCCACGTTTGCCTCGACCTCTTCGAAACCCTCGTACGCTAGCATCACTTGCTCCCTGGCCAGCACATCTATGATCTCTGGTTTTCTTGTATACTGGATGCCCTTCTTCTGGCAGATCTTTCTCAACAGGAATGCCTTCTTTGCTGACAGGATCTTTTGCGTAGACAGGCAATAATCTATGATGCCTTCCCTTGAGCACTTCGCGGGGAGCCCTTTGTAGCCGTTATCCATCGGGGTCCTTGGTTCTTCCCCACAGTTCTCTCCGTTAGCACCCGTTACGTTGAACTTTATACCGCCCGCTCTCATCGGGCTAATCTCCTCCGTGCAGTTCGTCTTCTCCTCCCCAAACCCGGCTCCGATATCATTCGCATTCCTCAGCACGTCGTCCTCATTGCCGACGTGATTTCTCGTTCCTTGCCTTTTCTTCGAGCACTCCCCCCGCTCAGTAGTCGTGCAGTTCCTCACTGGTGATACTTCTTTCTTACCCTTCACGAGTCTCCTCTTAACCGTACTTGCCTTCTTCTTCTTCTTCTTCTTCTTCTTCTTCTTCCTCAGCAATTCGATCGCTCTACGCAGTTCATTCTCCGAGTCCGTCGTTTCACTCTCTGTCTCGTATACAGTCTCCTCCTCAGATTCCGACGATTAAAAGATCACACGCGTTCTTTTCTTAGTTGTGCGATCGTTAGTGGTAGGCTTTACCACGCTTCTGACCCTTATCCCATCGCCTCCACCTTGCGCCTTGTCCTCCTCCGATCCCGACTCCAGTGCTACCCCCCTTATTCTCCTCTTCTTCAACCGAAAAGGCGTGCAATTTCCCGTAGCGCTCCTCATCCGCTGCTCTTCCACTCTCGCGCGCGCTTCCTCTGCCTTCGCCTTAGCTTCTTCCGCTTTCGCTTTCGCTTCTTCGGCTTTTGCTTTCGCCGCTGCAGCCGCTTCTTCCGCCTGTTTAGTCTGTTTCCTCCATTTCTCCTCAAGCCCCGCTTCGAGCTGCAACCTCATTTCTTCGGTCCTCCGAATCAAGTTGTGTTCTTGCCTCTTCTCATTCTCCTCTTGTATCCTCCTCTGTTCCTCCTCTCTTCTTCGTTCCTCTGCCTCCCGTTTCTCTTGTATCACCTGCCTATAATGCTGACGCATCTCCTCCATCTCGTTATCATCGTTCTTACCCCTCTTAGTCCAGCAGTCACGTGAGTAGTGTCCTATTTTCCCGCATGTATAGCATTCGATCGACTGTCTTCCCCCATAGTTCCCTCCGTTCTCACTGTTGCCGCCGTTCCCCCCGTAGCCACCCCAGTTATTTCCTCCATACCCGTTGTTTTCGTTTCTACCGGGACTCCCGTATCGGCCCGTCCCTCCCTGCTGATTCATCCCTCCGCCGTACATTTCGATCTCTATCCGTTCCTAGCTCAACCGTAACCTCTAAACTAAGAGAGGTACCGTCACGCAATCCTCGCGCAACTATCCCTTCCCACCTCACTGCTACAAATGATCACCGCCTTGTAGACATAGCCACCATGAAGCTTAAAACACTCCCGGTTACCATGCGCCTCCGAGTGAAGGTAGACTGTGGCATAACAGTGCATGCAGCATGCATGCTTACGGCGACATCAGAAGCAAAAATCCCCGTTTTTTCCCTCCCCCCTTGAGAACATTACCAAGATTTCCATCGGGACATACACGGTTCTCAGTCTCCCTCCTTCCTTCCCATTCCCCTTGCTCTGACCTCGCCATAACCATGTCATCACCACCATCTCCTCCCTGAGCTTCGTAGCGCCCTCGACGCGTTTCGTCCGCCTACGTGCGGACTCGTCAGGAGGTGGAATCGTAGATTCCGTAGCTCTCAGACAGCGAATGCCTTGCTGTCTGTCCTAAGTACCCTGGTCCCACCCACTTGGTACCCCTGCCCCGAGTCCAGTAGCTGTCCGCTTTCAAGAATTTTTTAAAAACATAAAATACGAATTCAAGAAACCTGGTCTTCCCGCCAGGCAACAGCCGCCAGTCCCCCCGTCTTCGTTCCCCTGCTGTCCCCGATAGTACCCCCGTTTTTTCCCGTCCCAGCACTCTATCCCGGTGGTCTATCGGGCCTCAGCAGGCCACCCCCCAGTATTATATCTACCAGCTATCTGAAATATCCAGACCCCGCCTCGTAACACCTATCTATCTACCGACCCTCCCCC